CAAAGGCTGCACTGTCAATCCTCACTCATTAACGTTGGCAGTATGCTAACAGTGAATTCCAACCCTCCAAACCATCACTCATGAACTTTAAACATTTATCAACTTCTCCTTTCCTCTCAGTTCCACCCAACCCTGAGCACTTGTCCTGCTCCACACCAGGTTGGGATCATCAGTGACACCAAGACACAACCAGAGCACGAGTGTGAGGACCCAGCCACACTGTGGCTTGTCCTGCTGACATTCCCTGCCTGGTGCAGGACCTTCCCTGCTCCTCCTTCCCACAAATCCTCCTCCAAGTGCCCAGCAGTGTTGGGAGAATCCTGGAATGGGTTGGGTTGGAATTTATTCAGTAATGATATTAAGTGACAAAATGAATTCAGCACTTTAAACCCTAAAACTAATCACTTTTAGCCTAACCTGCTGCTGTCCCACACCTGTGATGTGCCCTGGCTGGGTATGGCTCTGTAGCTGACCCAATCCAAGCTCAGGATTTGGGAGAACAGCAGGAAAATCAGCTCCTGGATGGGAAGAACAGCCAGGAGTGTCCAGGGGAGACTCACCGAAGCAGCAGCTCTTTTGGGAGTTTCTTGTTGATCACAGCCTCATCGTTGTTTGAGAACATCTGCAAACAAACAAATGGACACAATTCAGCCATGTATTAAGGGAATAAATCCTGCTCAACTCCAGGGAAGCAGTGGCTGGTTCAGGAGGGCAACATTCCTGCCCTCAGTGCCAACCAGCACTAGGGGTGTTCCCATCACCTCCCACCAGAGATAGCCCAAGTTGGCAAGTCCTGAGCAGTTACTAGACAACTCTCAGCCCATTTGGCTGCTAATTAAACTGGAGTTTGGCCATTTCTCCCACTGACACAGCTCTGGGAATGCTGAGCCCTGGGAGAGCAGAGCAGTATCTCCTCCACTTGGTTTGGTCACAGGCACCACCCAACTCCTGTGGAGTGTAACAGCAGATGGGACAGACATTCCCAAGGCTGGGAAAGCAGCACATGTGCATCCTGGGACAGGAGCAGCTAATGAAATGGCTCAGCTGATCAGGAAATCACAGAGAGAGCTCCAATGAAGCAGAAACTCAGGAATTCTTCATGGCAAAAGGAGAGGATGGTTTCTCTCCCAGCAGCTCACAGGCAGATCCATCCCCTTCCCACTATTGTCCAGCTCTGAGCCAGGACTCTCCACCCAAAACAGGGGAAAGGAACTGAAAGGAGCAAATCAGAGAGCAGGAGAGACTTCCCAAAGGGAACCAGAGCAGGAGGGAGCAGGAAGGACTGAAATAGAGATTCCAGAAGAGCCAGCAGCATTCCCTGCCTCGCTGGGCTGCAACCAGACTGTGTGGGAAGCCAAACTGGACTGGGAGGAGGCAGGAGATGATGGTCACTGCCTGGGAAATGGGAGCAAGGACACTCCAACAGCTCCATGCACACCCAGGGAACTCAAGTGCTGCCCCTGAGATCCCTGAGCAGGAAAACCTCCCCCAGATCCCAGCACAAACCCAGCCCTGCACTGCTTTCTGCAGGACTTTCCCTCTGACCAGCACTGAGCTGGGGGAATGTTTGCTTTCTGCTTTACTAAAAATAGTTCTTGGACTGAAAACGTGACAGGGCCAGGCAGGATGTGCTCTGTGGGAGAAGCTCAGCGCTAGAATTCCCTCCCTGGAAGGTTGGGAAGTGCCAGGGGACATCACCAGCCCCGTTTGCTCAAGGTTCCTCCTGAGCTTGGAGCTCAGCTGGCCCAGACTGGGGGAAAACAGGCTGCAACTGGGATTTTGCTAAGTCATGGCAGCACACACAGCTAAATATACCAAGGGACACACTGACTTTCTGGCAAGTCCATGTAAAAATAAAACTACTCTGAAAAAAAAAAAAAGTGTCAGAGGCTATTCCAGACTTCCCAGTGACTTCCAGGGATACAAACTAAACCCCCCAAGTTTGCTTTTTTCCTAACATCTCTGTTAGCACTTTTCACACCAGGTGTTGTCCAGCACAACAAATTATTCAGCACAGGATACAGAAAAACATGTTTTTCTTGTATAGGAATTTTGAAGTCTGTACAGAATCTTCCTCCAAGCACCAAGTTTGCTGCTGGATGAGGCCAGATGGGATATTGGGAAGAAATTCCTCCCTGTGAGGGTGGTGAGGGGCTGGGATGGATTTCCCAGAGCAGCTGTGGCTGTTCCATCCCTGGAAGGGTCCCAGGTCAGGTTGGATGAGGTTTGGAGCAATCTGGGCTAGTGGAAGGTGTCCCTGGGTGGAACTGGCTAAGGCTTAAGGTCCTTCCAACCCAAACCAGTCTGAGATTCTATGAAATCAAGCAGGTTTCTGAAAGCAGATGGACAGAAGTGACCACGAGCCACAGCTCTCCCAGCTCACGCTCAGCACGACACCTAATTGTCCCTTTGGTTTAAGAACTCTTGTCTTTCAGAATATTAAGGTGTGAGGAAATTGCTTTGACTGCTGGGGTGTCCCAGCCCTGCAGCACTCCCTGCAGCATTCCCTGCATGCCCCAGGCAGGGATAATCCCCACACTGCCCTGCTCACAGGGCAGGCAGGGGACAGAGCTGCTGCTCAGGCCCCTTCATTACAGGGCAGAGCCTCAACTGGGTCACCCATGTGACATCAGCACAGGACCAGGGGCAGCAGTGGGTGCCAGCAGGTAATTATGGGTGTCCCCACACAGGAACACCCACACTTGTCCTGTGCTCATCACACATGCAAAGGAGGACGTGAGCAGCAGTTGCTGCAAGGGGTGAGTGAGGCAACTGGGCACAGACTGGAGCTAAAACACAGTGTTGGGTCATTAGTGCAGCCACTCATTTAGGCTTTGCTTGCCATGGACCAATAGTCATGGAAACACAGAATCATAGGATCAGCCAGGTTGGAAAAGACCTCCAAGATCATCAAGTCCAACCATACCGTGGTCACTAGACCATGGCACTAAGTGCCACATCCAGTCTCAGCTTGAAAACCTCCAGGGATGGTGAATCCACCACCTCCCTGGGCGGCACATTCCAATGCCTGAGCACTCTCTCCGGAAAAAATCTCTTCCTAAGATCCAACCTAACCCTCCCCTGGCAGAGCTTGAGTCTGTGCCCTCTTGTCCTGCTGCTGGTTGCCTGGGAGAAGAGACCAACCCCCACCTGACTCCAACCTCCTGTCAGGGAGTTGCAGAGGGTGAGGAGGTCTCCCCTGAGCCTCCTCTTCTCCAGGCTGAACACCCCCAGCTCCCTCAGCCTCTCCTCATGGCACTTGTGCTCCAGTCCCTTCCCCAGCCTCGTTGCTCTGCTCTGGTCTGGCCCTGGCCCCTCAATGTCCCTCCTGAGCTGAAAGGAGGCATGGAGCTCTCTCCTTCAGCTCTGGGTCATGGAATCAGGGAATGGGTTGGGTTGGAAGCACCTTAAGCCCATCCAGTCCCACCCTGCCACAGGCAGGGACAGCTCCCACTAGCCCAGATTGCTCCAAGCCCTGTCCAGCCTGGCCTTGGACATTCCTGGGATGTTCAGCCACAGCTTATTTCCTTGCTAAGCTCCAAGGTTGATCACAGGCACTTGTTCACTTTAAATGAGACTGCTGGCAGAGCTTGTTTCTGCAGAAAAACATACTTAACAGTGAGTAAGGTGGAGAGGACACCACCCTGCTCTGGGATCTCCTGCCTGGCAGAGCTTGTGGCACTCAGGATCTGAACTGTCCTGAAAAGCACTGAAGAACATCAATTTATCTCAGTGTGATCAGTTAGACAAGAAACAGCACTGGCATTAAAAGGGTATGGAATAATTCCACTTCTAGTGGGAGGTGTCCTTGCTCATGGAATGGGATGATCTTTAAGGTCCTTTCCAACACAAACCACTCCATGATCTAGAACTATCCATGCCCAGTGCAAGCTGAGCACCATGGAGGCAGCAGTATGGTAAATATTCCACACAAACACAGCCAGTTTTCACCCCAAACTGCCTCTGGCATCAGGAAGGGGATGGTTGGTCTTCAAAACACCCAAAAATCACGAGGCTCAACCTTCACAGCAGTGCCAAAGCCAACAAGGCCCCAACAGGGTCAGCCTGATGCAGACTTTGAACTCAAACACTTTTTCTCTACAGCAGAAAATTCAATGTTTGATGGAGAAAAAAAAGGATGAAGCTTATTCAGAGCTTCAGGGAGTTAGTTAGAGGAGGCACTTGGGTTGGTTGTGGCACTGAGACTTGCAGTTCTCCATCCTGATGTTCACTCTAGAGGAAAATAACACTCATTTTAAACCACTCCAACTTGCTCACTAGCATATTCTACAAGGAAAACCTTCATTTCAGCTACCAAAACTGCTGCTAGGCACTCCAAATTCTTTCCTGCAGCTTTCAACTGCTCTGATCTGTCTCTAAAACCTGATTTCATTCACCTCAACTGCAGTTGAGGTGAACAGTATCAGACAAACTTCCTACAGGCACAAGAGGAGCAGGTGAGAATGTGCTGAGGGTGAAACGGCAGCTGCTGTTCAACCTAGAGCTCAGTGTAATCCTTGTGGGTTCCTTCCAGCTCAGGTATTCCAGGATTCCATGATCCTTGAGCCACAAGGAAATGCTGCCCACAGGGAATTGAGCAATTGGAAGCAAGGCAGAAAACAGGCTGCAATTATTGATTGTTAGAGAGTAAATAATGAGCTCTGGAAACTGGTTTTGAGCTGGGAAAGGTGGGAAAAATCAATCACTGCCACTAGGAATTAAGGATTACATGTGTAGCTGGAATATTTTGGAATTTACATCCCACTCAGCCTGGACCAAGACACTTTAGAGATGAACATTCAGAGCTCTACAAGTCTTTTGCTGTTGTGAAGTGACAGCAACAAACATCTGTGTGGATTCAGGCAGAGTTTGAACCCTGACACGTCAGAGCTGTGCTGGGAGGTTTCTCCAGCTGAAGGCTGCTGGCTCACAGCCAGAATTCCAGTTATTCCTGGTGGATTTTAGATCATCTTTGTCTGTTCTGGCCCATATGGGGATGAACAACCCCAGTACAGTCACTGAGACAGGACAAGACACACAGCAAACCTCTCACAGCACACAGCTCCAACCTAGGGAAAACAAGCTGAGCATAAACCTCAAAACCCATGGATTTCATTCTGTATTTCCTTTGGAAAAGCTCAGGGAAGCTTACAAACACTGTCAATATGTACTGCCACTTTGCCTCTAGTTCTGCCCATCCTGGACAAAAATTCCAGCACTGTTTCAAGGCTCAGACAACTGAGATATGAGCGACGTTGGTTCCCTTCCCAGCACAGGATTTTGGGAAGCAGCAGCTGGAGCAGGCTGAGCTGCTTTCCTGGAGGCAAACAAACATTGCACTGCAGAGATAAGTCACACTGAAGTGACAGCAAAATCCAAGGCTCCGAGGAGGACACGATCCCAAGTCTGAACATGTTTACACGCAGCTCAGAGCGAGGGAATTTTCCCTCCAGCCTGTAGTTACACAGGGAATTTCATTTCAAACCCCATCCAGACTAATCTGCAGGAAGTCTCCAAGGAAATGGCTGGCTGCTGGATGAAGCTGTGCTGCCACAAGCTCTAGGCTTGGCCCGGGATGCTCCGTTGGGAGCAGGAGGGATGGGAACAGCCGCTGCCCTCCTG